AAAAAAGCCGGGCAAAAAATTAGAAGAAGCGGTAGTAGGAAATTGCTTGGTTCAAAAATTATCTTTGGCAAAATAACTTAATGGGGAAGTCAAAAAAAAATCCTGGTCTTTAGGAAAGGAAATAATGCTTGTGTAATACTTTTGAGTAATAAATTTTTTTTGCGAATTCATTTTTAAACAATTATAACTTTATTTTATAATTGTTAACAAAAAACTTACATAATCATAAAAAAAATACAAAAAAAGAAAAAATAGTTGAGAGAGGCAGAACAGAACANCCGACCCTTTGGAAAAGGGGAGTGGAGAAAGGGACTAAAAAAAACTTTCCTTAAAACCTGACCGAGTTATAAGAAAGAAAAAAAATAATTCAACTATTTAAAAAAAGATAAAAACTTTATAAAAATGACTAAAAAAAAGAAATTTAAAAACATTCAAGTAATTGATGGTGCTGTTAATTGCCATTATCCCATTTATAGTATGGAGGAGGAATATTTTAATTTGATTTTTCCCAATGAACAAGATATCGAGTTTATTGAGGATTTTTGAGACCGAATAAAGAAAACAGAGACCAAGCAAGAGAGAAAAAAATGGGGTAAAATATTTGAAGAAATGTGGAAAAATAGAGTAGATAAAAAGTTAGTTAAGGGCATTCATGGAACACTGTTTTATGATGCTGAAAAAAAAATGGGAGCGACAAAAGGAAAAAAGGAATTTTATCCGACAAAAAAAGAAAGTGAAGCGGTGGTAGTAATTGACGGAAAGAAGTATAAAGACCATTTTTTTGACTAACACCTATTTTACTTTTTCTTGGGTTTAACATTTCTGTGGTTTCCTCCATTGCTATCTTGAACGTCCCAGTGAGGACCTCCGTGAGAATTAGGATTGCTCGGATCTCTTCCAGTAGGAACCCAAATATCACCATTTTTATGAGGGTATCCTTTTTTTTGACTGTTGCCAACTTTTACTTTTTTGCCATCCCAATTTTTTGGAGGTTCGTAACCATCTTCTTTAGTTGGAATACCTGGTTCTTTTTCTTTTTTAAGAAGGACATAATTTTTCAATTCTTCCAAAGGAAAACATTCGGTTCTCAAATCATATCCCAACTCTTCAAGTTTATAGTATTCTTCGGAAGTGAGACCATTACCCCACCAGTCCCAAATAGTTTTTAAAGGAGGACTGCCACATCCACGAGGTCGAGAGGAGGAACTACTTTCTCCCCAATCATCTATAATTCTCCCTACCTCTCTTCCCGCTTCTCTTGTCGCATAAGTCGCAACCGCTGCTGTTGTTGCTACAGCACCTACAACGGCAACTGTCTCGACAATCTCGGCTACAGCAATCAAACCAGGAATTAAGATAAAAAATGGCATATTTTCTTGGATTAAAAAGAAAAAAATCTTAGTAAAAAAGCATAAATTTAATAAAAAGAAAGCGGTAGGACAAACTTAATTACTTTATAAAAAGAACTTAGGAAACTTATAAAAACTTAATTTTTTTCCGAACCTAAATGGTTAAAAGAAACAAGAACAAAAATGGGGTTTATTTATAAAAAATCTAACCGAAAGATTTCTTTTTTTCTTTCTAAAAAGTTCTATCAGTTTCCATCAAAAAATCACGCCATTTTGCCAAGCATTACGCCATTATTCGAAAAG